GAAAGCAGCTTTCTCTTATCTGTATACACTGTACTATTAGATGTGCTAAGTATCACTTTGAAATGACTTAAATTTGAATAACACATTACAAACCATTTCAACAAGCATCATCTAGTCCTTATAGCAAAAGTTTAAGGCAAAAAGAACAATTATTATCCTCATTCTACCAACAGAAAAGCAGAGGCTCAGAAAAGTTACATGACCGACCACCTGATCCGGGTCACTCAAATACAAAGGTACAAAAATCAAAATTTAAACTATGTTTTGACTCAGAAATTCACGTTGTTAATTAATGAAAAAAGACAAATGAAAAATTGGGGAAAAGATTTGCAATTTATTTCATAAAGAGTTATTATCGGCCAGGTGCGGTAGCTCACTCCTTTAGTCCCAGCACTTTGGGAGGGCAAGGTTGGGGGATTGCTTGAGCTCAGGAGTTCGAGACCAACCTGGGCAACATGGAGAAAACCTGTCTCTACAAAAAATGCAAAAATTAGCTGTGTGTGGTGGCACGTGCCTGTGGCCACAGCTACTTGGGAGACTGAGGTGGGAGGATTGCTTGAGGCCAGGGGAATCGAGGCTGCAGTGAGCCATGATCACACCACTGCATTCCAGCCTGGATGACAGAGTGAGATCCTGTTAACAAAAAAAGTTATTATCCCTAATATATAGAAAGCACCAGAAAAAGAGAAGGTAAAGGCCACTGATACAATAGAAAACTGACCAAAAGTTCACAGAAAAAAATGGGCCCAGGCACAGTGGCTCACACCTGTAATCCTTGCACTTTGGGAGGCTGAAGCAGGCAGATTACTTGAGGTCAGGAGTTCAAGACCAGTCTAGCCAACATGGTGAAACCCCGTCTCTACTAAAAATGCAAAAATTAGCTTGTCTGGTGGTGTGCACCTGTAATCCCAGCTACTTGGGAGGTTGAGGTGGGAGAATCACTTGAACCTGGGAGGCAGAGGTTGCAATGAGCCAGTATCATGCAACTGCACTCCAGTCTGGGTGACAGAGCAAGACTCCATCTCAAAAAAAAAAAAGCAAATGGATCTTAAATCTATGGAAACATACTCAGCATAGCACACTTATCAAAGATAAATGCAATTTTAAAGCACATTAAGATACCAGATTGGCAAAAATCCAAAAAATTGATAACATTACTGGTGATAAAGATCCAATGAAAAAGCCACTCATAAATTGCTTAACAGAAGTCAAAATGGCACAACCCTCATGAAGGGAATTTTAGCAATATATGTATAGCAAAATTATATGTGTATTTACCCTTTAAGCCATATATCCCACTTGGTAGAAATCTCTGCCAAAGATATACTTGCAAAAATAAAAAATCACTTATGAACAAGACTATGTGTTACCATATTGTGATAACAAAACAAACAGCAAAACTGGAAACAAACCAAAGGACTGACTGAATAAAATTATATAAAATCACTCAGTAAATACTAGATGACTGTGAAAGGGAATAAGGAGGAACTTTGCATATTGATGTGGGGTTGTGGTAGCCAAGGTTATGTGCTACTTAAACTTCCTTCAGAAAAAAACTTGCCATTTGGCTACAAGGAGTGTACCTTTACTGGGGCATTTTGGTTTTTTTTTCATGGGAATTTTAATTATCATCCAGGGGCCACTTGCCTTCAGCCTGAAGATATTCCTGTAGTATTTTTTTTAATTTTTCTTTCTTCAGACAGGGTTTCACTTTGTCACCCAAGTTGGAGTACAGTGGTGTGATCACAGCTTACTGCAGCCTCAACTTCCTAGGCTCAAGCAATCTTCCTGCCTCAGCCTTTCAAGTAGCTAAGACATGTGCACCACCATGCCTGGGTAGTTACCTTTCATATACCACCATGCCTGGGTAGTTATTTTTTATTTTTATTTTCTACCAGAGAAGAGGTCTCCTTACAAAATCCTGGGTTTAAGCAATCCTTTCATGGTTTAAGCAATCTTTCTATGTCAGCTTCCCAAAGTCCTGGGATTAGAGGTATGAGCCACCACATTCAGCCTAGTATTTCTTATAAAGAAGCTCTGCTAGCCACAAATTCTCTCAGTTTTTATCTGAGAAAGTCTTTATTAATCTTCATTTTGAAAGGTAGCTTTGCTGGACATAAAATTCTTAGTTGACAGTTTTTTTCTTTGTGCACTTTAAATATGTTATCACACTGCCTTCTGGCGTCCATTGTTTCTGCTGAGAAGTCATCTTTTGATCATGTAAGGGATGAGTCCTTTTTCACTTGCTGCATTCAAGATTTCCTCCTTGTCTTTGCTGTCAGCATTTTTATTATGTGTCTGTCTGTAGATCTCTTTGTGTTTATCCTATTTGGAGTTCTGACTCTATTAGTTGACTGGGGAGCTGGTTATTTAAAAGAAGCCTGGCCCCTTCTCCTCAATGTCTTATCATGTGACATGTCTGCTCCCTCTTCACCTTGTCATGATTGTAAACTTCCTGAGGCCCTCACTGGCAGCACACTTCCTACAGAGCCTACAAAACTAGAGGCCAAAATAAACTTTTCTTTATAAGTTACTCAATCTTAGGTATTTTTTATAGGAATGCAAATGGACTAATAGGTGGAATTATAGGTGAAGCAAAATGGATCAGATGTTGCTAACTGTTGAAGCTGAGTGATGACTGTATATAAAGGTTCACTCCCAACTTCTATATGTTTGAAATTTCCCACAATAGAAAAATTTTTAAATGAACAAAATTCTATTCTCTAAAAGTATAATAACCTCGTAGAAGGGAGTAGAAAGCTTTGATGGATGGGTAGAAATAAGCCCTAGCCAGGTCTATGGAGAATATGGCTCTGGGAGACCCCTAGCTCAGGAGCCTTCAAGCCCTGGGCTACAGACCAGTACAGGTCTGTGGCCTGTTAGGAACTGGGCCACACGGCAGAAGGTGAGCGGCAGGCCAGCGAGCATTACCACCTGAGCTCTGTCTCCAGTCAGATCAGCCCAGGTATCAGATTCTCATAGCAGCGTGACCCCTATTGTGAATTGCACATGTGAGGGATCTAGGTTGCATGCTCCTTATAAGAATCTAACTAATGCCTGATGATCTGAAATGGAACAGTTTCATCCCAAAACTGTATCCCCACCTGCTTCCCCCAAGGAAATATTGTCTTTCATCAAACTGGTCCCTGGTACCAAAAAGGTTGGGACCCGCTGTCCTAGCCGATTGTGATCAAGACCAAGCTGTAGAATGCTGTGTCTTCTTAAGAAACTTTTAGCTAGGCAAGTGTCAAGATAGGTAAGTTCAAGGTCCAGTGTTCAACACTTTACTAATTTGGACCCCACTTAACCAAGTCCATTTTATTTTTTTCATTTCCACATTAATTAACATGTCATCCATCCTACACGATCCAGCTCAAGTCCTATCTCTTTCTCACTGATCTCTTAGCTAGTGATCCCTCTTTTTTCATATCCCTTTTAGTGGATTGTTTCCTGACAACTTTTGCCAACCTGAGTGTAGGCTCCTTAAAACCAGGGACCGGCAGGGCACAGTGGCTCCTGCCTGTAATCCCAGCACTTTGCAACACCGAGGCGGGTGGACTGCTTGAACTCAGGAGTTTGAGACCAGCCTGGGCAACATAGTGAAAACCCATCTCTTAAATAAAAAAAAAAAAAAAAAATAGCTGGGTGTGATGGCTTGCCTGTAGTGCCAGCTACTTGGGAAGTTGTAGTCCTGTAGTCCCAGCTACTAATACTTGGGAGGCTGAGGTGGGAGGACTGGTTGAGCCCAGGAGGCAGAGGTTGCAGTGAGCTGAGATGGCACCACTGCACTCCAACCTGGGTGACAGAGTGAGACCTTGTCTCAAAAAAACAAAACAAAACAAAATAAAAACAGGGACCATGACACATTTTAAAAATTCTCTCAGCACCAAATAATACTATCCACAAAGTCAGAGCTCCATTAATATTTGAATAAATACAGGTTGGAAGAGCCCAATAAATAGATCAATTAATGATTTTTAAACAAAGAAAAGTGGTCTCTCTGTCCTGGTAGTTTAAAAAAAAAAAAAAAAACCCCACTCTGATTCCTATTTTGAAGCTGCTGGATTTTTATTTTTTATTTTTTTAGACAGAGTCTCGCTGTATTGCCCAGGCTGAAATGCAGTGGTGCGATCTTGGCTCACTGCAACCTCTACCTCCCAGGTTCAAGCAATTCTCGTGCCTCAGCCTCCCAAGTAGCTGGGACTACAGGCGTGAACCATCATGCCCACCTAATTTATTTTTTCCTTTTTTTTCTTTGTATTTTTAGCAGAGATGAGGTTTCACCATGTTGGCCAGGTTGGTCTCGAACTCCTGAGGCAGGCAATCTGCCCACCTTGGCCTCCCAAAGTGCTGGGACTACAGACGTGAGCCATCACGCCTGGGCAGCTGCTGGATATTTTAACCACCTCTAGTATGCTAAGCATGAAATCAGTGTTATCTGGCAGTACACAGGAGCTTGAAATACTTTTTTTTTTTTTTAATTGTTATTCGAACTGAAGGAGTTTTTCCCTGAGGTCTGTAATCGTCACTAGCCCTTTCTGTACACAGCCGGCCTGGGCTTGTCAATACCACGTCCACTACTAAGAGAACACGTCTGAAAGCCTTGAAGCGAGGACGGCCCAATCACCTTCAGATGTGAAGCAAATATTCCAATCTAGAAGTAGGAAAATGGAATACGGACCGGGCTTTATGAAGGTGCATAGTCAGGCAAAGGTTCTTAGTGGGTGAAAGATAGTATAAGATTCATCCCAACCAAAGACCAAAAATGACACAAACATATGTATGAGCAAAACATCAGCAGGAACGTTCTTGTGTGGAAAATATTATACGGAAAACAAAAGAAGAGTAACCTTTTCCCTCTCGGTTTAGCTGGCTCTGGTCTTCAGGGCGACCGCCACCACCAGACACACAGCGACACAGGAAGGAGGGAAGCGCCCACAAGGCGCTGCCCTCGAGGTCCTGGGGAGCCCGGAAGCGGGCCTAGAGCCAGGGCCCGGGCGGGCGCCACCGAGCGCGGACCTCCCGCGCATCCTAGAGCGCCCGCGCGGGTTGCGGCTGGCGGCGCACTTCCGTCCGCGTGTATTGTATCCCCGCGGACGGCTGGGCCTGGGTGCTGGCCTGTGCCTCCCTCGCCTCCTGGCGCGGGCCTCGGGGAGAGGGTGAGTGGGGCAGGGCATGCCAGAGGGGGGCGGGGGCGCTTCCTCGGGACTCGCTGGCTCGGCTAGGCCCGGCCCGGCCCGGCGCGGGGGACCTAAGCCCGGGGAGCGCCCAGCAGCGAGGACGCGCCTCGTTCACCACCTCGGGTCGGAGCCTCGGCCTCCCGGCGTCGCGCCCACCCCGCCTTTTTCGAGGCTAACTCGGTCTCTTGGGGGGAACCTGGGCTCGCTAAAGGCCGGAAATCTGGCTTCTGGCCCTGCTTGTGCCTTGGCCTCTCACTTTCTGCTTCCCGGCCCCGGTTCTTTCAGCTCTAAGATGGAGGACGGTGGTATCTGCCCTGTGCACACCACAGGGTGATTGCAGGGTTGACGCTGCCTGGCTGGAAACGAAGGAGCGCCGGTTCTCCACCCGGCAGCCTGTGGAATCGCTTGGGTAGCCTCCAAATGCCGAGGCCCGGTCATCACCGGGTAGTTGTGATCTACGGCCAGGACTGAGCACCACGGCCCCAGAGTGAAATGACAGTACTGTGATCACGACTGGAATATCCACTTTACCGAACGTGGATCACATTCTTGAGAAAGCAAGCAGCCGGGATTTTTTTTTTTTTTTTTTTTTTGTTTTTGTTGTTGTTGTTGTTGTTTGGTTTTGGTCCAAGAAGACAGGGACCTAATCTGGTTTGCTTGCATTTAATTCCTAGTGCCTAGAATGGTGCATGTCCCAAAACATGCACCGTTGATTACATAATTTCTGATTACTTCCCAACCTATTGGGAGGGTTTTCGTTATATTTGTTTTTAAATTATTATGGAAACCTTAAAATCATATATGAAAATAGTATACTAAACTCCGAATTCATGATCAGTCCTATTTCATCTGTTACCCTCTTCCCCACTGTAGTATTTTAAAGCCAATCTGAAATGTACCATTCCATCTCTTTTTCATGTTTATGAAACACAATCACACCTTTTTAAAACATAAAGCCATTATTAGTATAATTAGCATTTCATTTTACCCTCTGCTATCCAGTCAGCATTACATTTTCCTAGTTGTTTCTCTCCCCTTCTCCAGTTTGTCCAAATCAGTATCCAAACAAACTACACACATTTGGTTGATGTCTCTTAGCTCTCTCTTTATCTTTTTCCTTCCTTTATTTTGTTCCCTGTATTTTACTTGAAGAACAAGTCATTTGTACGGTTCGCGTTTTCTGCATCCAGGATTTTGCTTTTTCCATTTCTGTGGTATCCTTTAATAAGCAGGTATTTAGACCTGTAGCCTTGTTGAGGTCAGGTTCTGTTTTTTGGCAAGAGAACTTCATGGGGGATTATTGTGTTTTTCACATTGTATCACACCAGGAGTTAGATAGCATCCTGTCTTTCTTTGTGGACCTAGTAGCACCATAGGATAACCAAACAATTGACCAGGGAATGCCAGCAAATACAAGCAAAAGAAATGAGAGAATATCACCTTTTGGCAACCCCTAATGAAATAATGGATCCTGGCAATGATCACTAGTGGCTGTTAACATCCGAAAGAGAGACAGCTAGACAGTACATGCTGCCTAATGGGGTACTTCTATCAGACAGCACATGTTTGTCTTACCAAGTATTCTTGGAGTAATGGGGGTGGGGTATACAGCTGAAACAAGATTGTCCATGAGTTGATGATTGTTGAAGCTCAGTGGTGGGTGTGTGGCATGCATCATGCTAGTCTCTGCTTCTGTATGTGTCTGAAGTTTTTCAGAATAAAATTAAAAAAAAAAAGATTCATTAGTTGACTAGAGAGTTTAGGTCAGCCTGATCCATCCATTGCAGTTCTGTTAGCCCAGGCATCCCCAAACTGCAGGCCGCATGCGGCCCCCTGAGGCCATTTATCCGGCCCCCCGCCGCACTGCAGGAAGGGGCACCTCTTCCATTGGTGGTCAGTGAGAGGAGCACAGTATGTGGCGGCCCTCCAACGGTCTGAGGGACAGTGAACTGGCCCCCTGTGTAAAAAGTTTAGGGACACCTGTTTAGCCTTTCACTAAGTGGTTCTCAAATCTGACTCCATGTTAGGATCACAGGAGAAGGCTTTAAAAAAAAATACTAAAACATGTTTCACTTGCAGAATTTCCTATCTAAATGTTCTGAGATGGAGCCCAAGCATTGATACGGTTTTTTGTTTTGTTTGGGACTGCAAGTGTATGCCACCATGCCTGGCTAATTTTTTAATTTTTTATAGAGACAGGATCTTGCTATGTTTCGAAGGCTGGTCTTGAACTCCTGGCCTGAAGCCATCCTGCTGCCTCAGCCTCCCAAAGTGCTGAGTTTACAAGCATGAGCCACCAAACCTGACCTTCACTGATACGTTTCAAAAGCTCTCCCTGTGATACTAATAGGCCCCCAGGGTTATACACTACCTGTCTAGATCCACTGTTTCTTAGGGATGACAAAGTGATTATATTCTATTATTCCTTCTGCAGTTAATTAGCCTTTACAAATGTTAACTTTCTGCATTCTGTTTATTCTTACGGATCCTACAAATCAATAAGGAAGCTTCTGCAAATAAAGCTCCTTTATTATCAGGGGAAGACTTGATCTTGGAGGTGAAAATGTAGAGTAACACATGGAAGGGATACTAGCAATAACCTCAAGGTTATGCGTAAGATAGAGATGCACCACTTTGTATCTGAAGGTTGGGGGCAGGAAATATGGGGAGGAGCTGTTTCCCAAAATGGAAAGAAAGACTAGTATGTAGTTAGAGAAGCATGTTTGGCTGTATGACACATTTCCAAAAAAAAAAAAAAGCATCAGCATTAAGTAAAAATAAATTAAAAAAATAATAAAGTGCCACTCATTGGAACATAAAACAATCCACATATTTAAAAGAAAAGTTAACAATTTCCCGTGCAGCCCCCACCCCATTACTTTAATCACCTCTGAGATAACCCATATTAACAGGATGGTGTGTATCTTCTCCCACATCAGACTTTGTCTTACATAAATGTAGGGGTTTGGGGCATTGTTATAAAAATGAGATCATACCATAGCCATCTGTAACTTTTCTCCTTGTCATCCCTCCAGGACAGTAGTTGCAGACTTGACTTTCTATTAGCTGAAGAATAAATAGTTGATAGAATAAATAATAGTCAAATGTACCCATTTTCCTATTGACATATTTAGATCATGTCCATATTTTAGCCACCTTAAGGGCACCACAATATACATCATTGTACATAGATCTTTATTATTAGGGTAGATTCCCAAAAATGGGAATTGCTAGATGAAAGCATATAATTATCAACAGCAATATTATTACTGGTAATATATATTGCCAAATTATTCTCTCAAAGCATAATCGCAGCAGTACCCATTTACCCTCATCCTGGTTAGCACTGGCTAGCTGTGCTTCATTGATATTTGCCTGCTAGCTGATGTGTGGTAAACGGCCTCTTTTTTTTGTTTGTTGTGAGAGTGGATCTTGATCTGTCACCCGGGCTGGAGTACAGCAGTGAGATCATGGCTCACTGCAGCCTTAACCTCCCAGGCTCAAATGATCCACCTGCCTCAGCCTCCTGAATAGCTGGGACTACAAGCACGTGCCTCCATGTCCAGCTGATTTTTGTTTTTTAATTTTTTGTAGGGACAGGGTCTCACTATGTTGCCTAGGCTGGTCTCAAACTCCTGGACTCAAGTGATCCTCTCATCCCAGACTCCCAGAGTGCTGGGATTATAGGCATGAGCTACTGCACCCAGCCTCTTTTTTCTGCATTTTGCATTCCACTAACCATCTGGAGACTGAACACTTACCTTTTATTTATTTATTTAAATTTTTAAAATAGATACATGATAGTTGTTTGAACCCATTTTATGCTTATAGGCCATTTGGATTTCTTCTGTGATTCCTATATATACATGTATATATATCCTTTTTGCCTGTTTTTCTGTTGCACCAGTATTTTTGTATTTTGAATGCATTTGCATAAACTTTTTTAGGAGCATTAACTCTCTGTCATAAGGGGGTCCAAACTCTTTCAGTTTTTTTTCCTTGTCCTTTGACTTTATGAGTCTTGATATATAAAATATTTTATTTAGTGAAAATGTCTGATTTTTAAATGTCCAGGTTTTATATCTTGCCAATAAGTGCTTCCCCATCTCTACAGTTAAAGGTATAAATATTCTAATTTTTGGAACATGTTACTGGATTTTTGCATTTAAATTTCTGACTTATGTGGAGTGTATTTTTATATACAATACAAAATGAGCATCTTGCTTTGCTTTTTTCTGCTGGAACAGCCTATTATGTCAGTGCCATTCATTAAAGAAACCACACTTTTTACACCTTTATGTAAAATGTGGTTTATCAATACTGTATTGATTCCCATAGCTAGGTAGTTTATTGCTGGACTTTCCCTTCCCTTTTACCTCTACTTTTGTGCCAATATTATTCTGATTGATTGAGACAGAGTCTCACTCTATCACCCAGGCTGGAGTGCAATGGTGCAGTCTTGGCTCACTACAACCACTGCCTCCCAGGTTCAAGTGATTCTCCTGCCTCAGCCTCCTGAGTAGCTGGGACTGCACATAGGAGCTACCACACCCAGCTAATTTTTGTATTTTTAGTAGAGACAGGGTTTCACCATCTTGGCTAGGCTGGTCTGGAACTCCTGACCTCAGTTGATCCACCTGCCTTGGCCTCCCATAGTGCTGGGATTATAGGCATGAGCCACTATGCCTGGCCTATTCTGTTTTAATTACATCAGATTGCTCTAGTAAATGTTAATACCTAGAAAGACAAGTCACTACTCACTGCTTTTTGTAATTTTCTTGCCCCTTCTCAGGCATTTATTTTTTTCTTCCATATTATTTTTGTATTGTTTCTGTTCCAAAATAAATCCCACTGGAAATATGATCGAATTTGCACCAAATATATCTATATTAACTTAGGAAAGATGAACATTTCTGTGATACCAAGTCATCTTACCAAAGACATAATGTATATCTCTTATTTTTGTGAATCTTTTGGGTGCTGTTCCTTTGCTGCTAACTTTATTTCTGGCAATTTTGTTTTTGCTCTTGGAATGAGTTTTTCCCCCCATTTCTATTTTTATCTTATTACTAAGACTGAGAAGAGTTATTGAAATTTCCGTATATTTTATATCCAGCTGTTGAATTCTCTTATAGTAGTTTTTCTTAAGCTTATTTGTTTTCTTCTCTGCCATCAATGTGGATAATCTATAATCAGTTATGTATAAGTTTCAGTTTATTCTAATTTATTCTGCTTGATACACATTTTCCATCTCAGAAGTATATCAGAGATGTCAGATGTGCCTAGAAATCATGAAAGGAATAGTGTCAGCAGTTGGAATAAATCTGCACATTCAACAGGTTATTGCTGATCACTTAAAATAACAGAGTCCCAAGTCCTCGTGAATCATGGACCATGTAATTTAGGGAGTGAGACATTTGTCAGCATTATTGTGAAGTATCAGCATGACTGTAGAACATCACAGAGCATTACTGTTAATGATTGTTCAGAGAAAGGGCTGATCATCATGGGCATCAGAGATACCATTTGTTGGTCATAATTAAATACCGTCTCTTGCCCAGTATCTCAACTAGAGTTGTTCAGTGTTTATTAGAAGGAATTTTTTAAAATTAATGAGTGGAAAGTATAGAGAGTTCCCATATGCTGTCTTATCCCTTACCACTCAGTGTTCCCTGTATAAACATCTTGCATTAATATGGTACATGTTCAGAAGCTTAAGGGCTCAAAAAAGAAAAGAAAAATGTGCTACATGTGTCACAGTTGATGAGCCAATATTGGTACATTTTCAACTAACGTTTACATTAGGGCTCATTCACTCTAGTGTTGTTCATTCTGTATACAATTGACAAATGTATAATGACATGTTTGTCTTAACGGTATCATACAGAATCGTTTCACTGCCCTAAACATCCTCTGTGTTCCGCCTAGTCATTCTTCCCTCCCTCCTGCTATATCACTAGCAAGCACTGTTCTTTTTACCATCTCCATAGTTTTGCCTTTTTGAGAGCATCATATAGTTAGAATTCAATTACAGTTTTTAATTGCCTGGGTTTGGTTATTTTTGTTTGTTTGGGTGTGTGAACAATTATACAAGATTTGTTAACTTGTAGTTTTAGCCAAGTTATTAAAATCTTACCGCGGATATGTGTGGAATACTATAAGAGAACAGGAATTCAGACTGTTCTAAATAACCACAAAATAATAATGGTAAATATTACAAGAATGTGTTTTTGGTGCAGTGATAATCCCCAGATGATCACTCTGTTGCAGGGTGGAAGATGTCTATGGATGTGACGTTTCTGGGGACGGGTGCAGCATACCCATCTCCAACCCGGGGTGCCTCTGCTGTGGTCCTTCGGTGTGAGGGCGAGTGCTGGCTCTTTGACTGTGGGGAGGGAACACAGACACAGCTTATGAAAAGCCAACTTAAAGCAGGTTAGTGTGCCTTCAGCTATCTCAGTAAGATTTTTTTGTTGTTTGCTTCATTTTCTTGGCACTTGTTGGACATTTTGTTCAGAAACAGCCCTGATGGTTGCATCCCACTTCAATGCTAGACCCTGGTGAGACTTGGAAGGCCCACAGGCATCTGGCCACATCCACTGAACTTCAGTTACTTATTTACTTGCTTTTCATTTATCCTGTGGATGTTGAAAGCAAGGATTCATGTAGGCTTGGGGTTTGGGAAATGTAGTGGAATATACCAGGCATATCAGATGGACACTCCCTTAGCAAGGAAGCAGTATACATACTTATTTCTACCATTTTCGTGAGAGGATGCAAAGGGTAGGAAATGTTTGGAGGGAGACGCTGAGATGCTCTTTCCCTCTTGGGTTATCAGGGTAAACTTCTCAGAGAAGTTGACCTGTGAGTTGTCAAATAAGGAGGAAGAATTTCCAGGGCTGAGGAAAAGAAGTGCATTTCAGCGAGAGGGAATGGAGTGAGCAGAGGCCAGCACCTGGGAGATAGAGTACTAATGGTGAAAAGCTTGAGCTCAGAGTCAGGCAGATCTGGTTTCTAGTTCCGGTTGTGTCATGGGCTTGTGACCTTAGCAGATCAGCAAACTTCAACTTTACTTTCCCCATCTTGAAAATGGCGATTAAAAAATCTATGTAGAAAGGGTGTTATGAGAATTATATGTAATCATTTATTCTCTGGCAGTACCCTTACAGTGGTAGGACAGCCTGCCCTGAGCTCCTCAAGTTCTCTGCATTGTGGGTTTCTGCCTCATGATAGCTTGCTTCATAGCCAGCATGGGAGAAGGAGACTCTAGAGTAAGTCTGCTAACGAGTCTTACGTCCCATAACATAATCATATTGCATTCCTGTGCCATATTCTACTGGTTAGAAGCAAGTCACAAGTCCCAGCCACACTCAGGAGAGGGGATTATAGGACATGAACGGACATGAACACCAGGAAGTAGGAGCCACAGGAACCACCTAAAGTATGCACCACACACCACAAGTATATTTTACAGTTTCTTTTTATGTGATTTGTGTGTGTGTGTGTGTGTGTGAGAGACTGAGTCTTGCTCTGTCACCCAGGCTGCAGTGCAGTGGCATGATCTCGGCTCACTGAAACCTCTGCCTCCTGGGTTCAAATGATTCTTGTGCCTCAGCCTCCTGAGTAGCTGAGATTACAGGTACGCACCACCACACCTGGCTAACATTTTTTTTTTTTTTTAGGCAGAGTATTGCTCTGTCACCAGGCTGGAGTGCAGTGGCACGATCTCAGCTCACTGCAACCTCTGCCTCCCGGGTTCAAGTGATTTGCCTGCCTTAGCCAGGACTATAGGCATGCGCCACCACGCCCAGCTAATTTTTGTATTTTTAGTAGAGACGGGGTTTTCCCCATGTTGGCCAGGATGGTCTTAATCTCTTGACCTCATGATCCACCCACCTCGGCTTCCCAAGGTGCTGGGATTACAGGTGTGAGCCACTGTACCCAGCTTAACTTTTTTGTATTTTTAGTAGAGATGGGGTTTCACCATGTTGCTCAGACTGGTCTTGAACTCCTCAGCTCAGGCAATCCACCTGCCTCGTCTTCCCAAAGTGCTAGGATTCAGGTGTGAGCCACTGCACCCAGTCTATATAGGTTTTAAATAAACACTTGGAGTTGGGCACAGTGGCTCCTGCCTGTAATCCCAGCACTTTGGGAGGTCAAAGCAGGAAGATGACTTGAGGCCAGGAGTTTGACGCTAACCTGGGTAACATAAAGAGACTCTATCTCTACAAGAAATAAAAAAGTTGGGGTGGTTGTGTGCACCTGTGGTCCCAGCCGGAGGCTGAGGCATGAGGATCCTTTGAGTCCAGGAGGTCGAAGCTGCAGTGAGCCGGGATCAGCCATTGCACTCTAGCCTGGTGACAGAGCAAGACCCTGTCTCAACAAACAAATAAATAAACATAAATGCATACATTCTTATGTACAGTTGGTAAATCTAATCTTGGCCAAAAAATACCCCCAAAAGCCTGGGGGAACCTTTAGTTTACAACATTCCATAGGCTTAGAAAAAAATTTCTGGCCTCAGAGAGGAAGGTGAGAGAGGAATCCCAGAGCATTACATATGACTCTCTAGTACTGAAACGCCCCCAGTCTCAAAATGGAATGCAGCACCCTCAATATATAGTAATTTCTCTCCATGGCCTATTATGGACCTATCATTATTTGGTTCATTGAAACCCTTTCAGCTTGTACTACCTCCAGGGATAGTAAGTTTTGAGTTTCATAGGAGTTTCTATTTAGCAAAACATACTTCTTATAAGCTTCCAGGGTCCTAATATGCACATCTCTGACTGATTAAGAAGTGCAGGTTTGGCATCTCCATTTCTTTTAGAGTTTTAAAGAACAAGCATAAGCCTTCTTTTTTCCCCTTAAAAATGGGCTGGGTATGGTGGCTCATATCTGTAATCTTTGGGAGGCTGAGGTGGGAGGATCACTTGAACCCAGGGGTTCAAGAACTATGATTGTGCTACTGCACTCCAGCCTGGGCAACAGAGTGAGACCTGCTTCTAAAAAAATAAAACAAAATTTTTAATGATTATGAAATTTTTTTTGATATAAATTTAAATATAATTGCAGTTTGTTACATGGATATATTACATAGTGGTGAAGTCTCGGGTTTATTGTATCCATCTCCCAAATAATGTATATTGCTCCCATCAGATAAATCATCCTTCACCACCCCCAGCCACCCTTCCGTGTTTCCAAGTCTTCCATATATATTATTCTACACCATATACTCATGTGTACACATGAAATGATTATTAAAAGTATTATGAGCATGATTTTTAAAATTAGATAAAAAGTATAAATGCTTATTGTAAAAATTCAAACAAAACAGAAAAGTGTAAATAAGAAAAGTCCAAGCCCCCCATCCGTCATAGGTGAAATATATATATATATATATATATATATATATATATATATATATATATATGTGGTGATAGTATGGGAGTGTGTGTGTGTGTGTGTGTGTGTATGTGTGTGTGTGTGTATGTGTGTGTGTGTGTGTGTGTTAGTTCTGCATACATAGAATTATACTGCTCTTGGCATAACCTGCTTTTTTTAAATCACCTGAGCAATGTATACAAAGAATATATTGCAGCTTTTCCAAATCCAGTAAATATACCTATGTCTTCATTTTTAGAGAATGCTCAGTATTCCACTCCTCTGTAGATGACATATTTCCCCATAACTTCCTTGTTCCCAAGGGAAAGGGAACTCAGGCATTTTTCTGTCTTCATTTGAGAGCTTCCTCATACTTTCGATGATTGTGGTTGTCATTCCTTCTCCTTCAAAATCAAGTTTTTTAAAAAATGCAATGTTTGTCTCCCTGAAACTGTTGATAACTGTAGGAAGAAGTTTTTCGGTTAATTTGCCTCACTTCAGGTTCACAAGTTGTTTTGTGTTCAGTTTGGCTTTGTTTTAGAGTAGATAAGGAAAGGGCCCAGAAAGTCTGATGTTGGCGGTTTTGAGGCTACTGGGGGATCTGGACTCAGTGACTGCTGTAGTTCTTTTTTTTTTTTTTGAGACAGAGTTTTGCTTTTGGTGCCTAGGCTGGAGTGCAGTGGCGTGATCTTGGCACACTGCAACCTCCACCTCCTGGGTTCAAGCAAGCGATTCTCCTGCCTCAGTCTCCCAAGTAGCTGAGATTATAGGCATGTGCTACCACACCCACCTAATTTTGGGTTTTTAGTAGAGATCGGGTTTCTCCATGTTGGTGAGGCTGATCTTGAACTCCCAAACTTAGGTGATCCCCCCGCTCCGCCTCAGCCTCCCAAAGTGTTGGGATTATAGGTGTGAGCCACCACACCTGGCCCTACTGCTATATAGTTCTTTTGTCTGCAGAGTCCTCAGGTCATGCATGGAGGTAGCTTGGTAAGCTGGACAGGGAGATGGGGGAAATGAGGGATTCAGGCAGTCAAAAAACAGCAAAAAGGAGCATATTGAGGAAACTTCTAGAGTGCCTCCTGGGGATTCGCAAGGTCTCAATCAGCTTGTGCCCAACCTGTTGTTCTCTGTTGCTGGGGCCTGGGCTTGATGTCATAATTCTGGAAAGACTTGCTTGGAGAACACTTGATATTATGGGACAAATTGCATTGTAGTAAACTCTTCTTGTTCTTTTATGGTGTCAATAAACTGTTTCTATACTTTTATAGCATCAAGTGTTTAAAATAGGTAGGCTTTGAGCAAAGGACCAAAAGCCTCTTTTGTACTAGAAATGTGTTAGTTGTGATTGCTTCTTTCGAAATGCCGTGTGGCACATCTCAGAAAATGCTGATGTGGCGTCCTGCCACATTGCAGCAATAAATTCAGTTTACCATTGGCTAAATCAAGTTATAACCTAAGCCAGTATGCACTGAAAAAGCTGTTATATTAGTTCAGACTGAAAGGAAGAATGGACCCAAGTACCCTTACATAATAGCATAGGGGATCAGCTCTCCTGCATTCTGGCATCTATTGCCCACCCTCCTTCTCAGTTCCTTACCTTGTTCCTCTCCTACCTCCCTTCTGCCTCCTCTCTTTCTTCTCCCTTCCTCACCCTCCTTCCTTTTCTCCATCTTCTTCAACCTCACCCAGAAAAGCAGGCTGTGACCTGATTGGTTAATCCCTGTCCAGTGTAGGGAGTCCTTAAAAGGCAATTTTGGGTTCAGGCACTGGTCCAGTCAGTTGGAGCCAGTGGAACATTTTGTTTTCCTGTAATACATGTTTGCTTTTCTCAGAGGGAGCAGTAGGGGGCAATATAATTGCTAGATGGTTTTGATACTTGAAGCCTATTTATTTAATAGTTAAGTGAATTTTTTTGGTACACTTTGTATTTTACTTTTTTTTTTAATGTGACAGAAAATGTAAGAAAATACTCTGAAAGCTGTAAAACTATGTAATATGAAGATGTTTTATGAAAAAAGTTATATCTTATTGAAACCATCTGGTGGGGCCAGGTACAGTGGCTAGAGCCTGTAATCCCAGCACTTGGGGAGGCCGAGGTGGGAAAATTGCTTAAGGCCAGGAGTTTGAGACCAGCCTGGGCAACATAGCAAGACCCCATCTCTACAAAATTTAAAAAAAGAAAAAAGCCAGGCATGGTGGTAGTTACCTGTAGTCCTAGCTACTTGGAAGGCTGAGGCAGTAGGATCACTTGAGCCCAGGAGGTCAGGGCTGCAGTAAGCTATGATCACAGCACTGCACTCCAGCCTGGATGACAGAGTGAGACCTGTCTCTTTAAAAAAAACTATTAAAAACAAACGAACAATAAAAACCATCTGGTGAAATAAAGCTCTTGCTTTTGGAATCATATAGCAAAATGTAAACAAATTAAGTTTATGATGGTAAGTAGAACTTTTAAATTCAATTTACTATTTTTAATGTAAATTGTTAGACTTGTTTCAAATAACTTTGTATGGGTTTTTACTTAATGAAAAATTTCCAAATGTATATTCTCTGTCTCAATCAAAAGGAAGAATTACCAAGATCTTCATCACACATCTTCATGGAGACCATTTCTTTGGCCTTCCTGGGCTCCTCTGCACAATCAGCCTGCAGAGTGGCTCCATTGTGTCCAAACAGCCTATTGAAATCTATGGCCCTGTAGGGCTTCGGGACTTTATCTGGCGAACCATGGAACTCTCTCACACAGAGCTGGTCTTCCATTATGTGGTTCACGAACTGGTTCCCACAGCAGATCAATGTCCTGCAGAAGAACTAAAAGAATTTATACCTGTGAATAGAGCAGGCAGTCCTCCCAAAGAGGAACAAGGAAGAACTATCCTACTAGACTCAGAAGAAAACTCATACCTTCTGTTTGATGATGAACAGTTTGTTGTAAAAGCATTTCGCCTCTTTCACAGAATTCCCTCATTTGGGTTTTCAGTTTTGGAAAAGAAACGCCCAGGTAAACTCAATGCACAGAAACTAAAAGACCTCGGTAAGCATTTTTTTCCCCCTTCTCATCAGTAGGGTTCCTGTTAACTGAAGCTGTAAGAAGTGTCATAGTAAGGCCAGGTGTTGTGGCTTATGCCTGTAATCCTAGCACTTTGGGAGGCTGAGGTGAGTGGATCACTTGAGTTCAGGAGTTCAAGACCAGCCTAGGAAACATGGTGAAACCCCATCTCTACTAAAAATACAAAAATTAACTGGGTATGGTGGCATGCACCTGTAGTCCCAGCTTCTTGGGAAGCTGAGGCAGGAGAATCACTTGAACCTGGGAGGTCAAGGCTGCAGTGAGCCAAGATGGCATTACTATACTCCAGCTTGGGTAACAGAGCAAGACTCTGTCTCAAAAAAAAAAAGGTACCATAGTAAACTTGTAAACTTCCATTCCTCTATCCCAGGCCTAAAACTGACATTTTCTCCACTTAGTCCCTTTGCCCAAAGTTTGCTTATTAAGGAAAATCCATGGGGACAAAAAATGCTACTTAGAGCAAAAGCCAAGTATACATCTGAATCCCCTCCTGAGCTCCCTGGATCCACATTCTTAGTCTGTCTTCACCTTACACTATCTTGGTTGGCAAGGTGATTTGGGTGGTAGTGGTGGTGGTTTTAGGTTCAGGCTTTATTTTTTCATGTCTTCCCTTTGATATGTGTTTTTGATGACATCTTTGGTCTGAGAATTTTTGCCATAATTTTTAACCTTGCAACTACAACCATGTGCTTTTAGTTTCCTTCTCTATCTACTTTGCCTACGAATTTAAGCTTGATTAAATTAATTTGGTATTCAAAATGCTGTGCCTCAGCCAGTTTTATATACCAGAATTCATCACAGTTGAAAGCCATCATATAGAGGTGGGCTTGGGGCCCATCTAAGCCTTCACACCTTCTCCATGCTAAGCCAGGATGCACGAGGGGATCTTCAACATCTCTTATGAGGTAGAGTCCAGGTACAAGGTACATTATATCTCCAGCGTCACTGCCTTCACGGGCATGGTGTGGCCGTGACTGTAAAAAGTATGGTGGCATTATGTGTGTGTTTGTTTTTTTATTTATGCACTATCTTCCTCAACTAAAATAAAATGCTAGATAATGAGGAAAAGTGACTTAGGCCAAGGGTATTTTTGTTACCTGAAAGCCCGTGGAAATACTATTATATTTGGAAACTTTAAACATGATCTGTGTTAGAATCTGTGGTCACATTTACTAGTTTGTAAGTATTGTCCATAGTGATGATCAGATCTTATTTTAAATTAATATGAAATTTAGGCCCACTTTGATAAATGTGGAACTGCCCGTCTGCCAAGAAGATTAATAGTGTACAGTTGCCTGAAAAAAATGCTCCTTGATCTTGTAATACAAACAATCCTCTCTAACAATTTTTTATTAAGTTACTTTGTAGGCACTTGGTTTGACTAGGTGTTGATTAAACCGTTTTTTGGAGGCAGTCTCACTCTGTTGTCCAGGCTGAGTGCAGTGATAGGATCTCAGCTCGCTCACTGCCACTTCTGCCTCCTGGGTTAAAGCAATTCTCATGCCTCGGCCTCCCATGTAGTTGGGACTACAGATGTGCACCACTGTGCCCAGCTAATTTTTTGTGTTTTTAGTAGATGCAAGGTCTCACTATGTTGGCCTGGCTGCTCTCAAACTCCTGAGCTCAAGTGATCTCTCTGCCTTGGCTTTGCAAAGTGCTGGGATTACAGGCATGAGCCACTGCACCCAGCCTGTTTATATCATTATTTAAATGTACTCTTAAATTTTACCCAAAGGTGAGCTTATTAAATAAAGCACTCTCAAAAACTGTTGTTTCCATGCACTGCAGAGAATCAAGAATGTTATACTGACCATAATAGTGATACTTAGGAGACTAAAACTTGTCTGACATGCATGCATGAGAATTATTTTAAGTACTAAGACATTGCTAATATCAATCAACACTGAAATCTTTAAAATGTGTAAGTAATTCCAGTTTTCCACAAGTAGCAAAACATACAATTATGGATGCCTTTTCCATTAGCTATTTGCAATGCTGTTAAAATAGACTTGAAAAGTCATAAATTCCATTTCTATGATGTAATGTTATCTGCCTTCATCATTAGGTGTTCCACCAGGTCCTGCCTATGGGAAGCTGAAAAATGGAATTTCCGTTGTTCTGGAAAATGGGGTTATAATTTCTCCCCAAGATGTCTTAAAAAAGCCTATTGTTGGAAGAAAAATCTGCATATTGGGGGACTGCTCTGGGGTTGTGGGTGATGAAGGAGTAAAGCTGTGCTTTGAAGCAGACCTGTTGATCCATGAAGCAACCCTGGATGATGCCCAGATGGACAAAGCGAAGGAGCACGGCCACAGCACACCACAGATGGCAGCAACATTTGCAAAGTTGTGCCGTGCAAAGAGGCTGGTTCTGACTCACTTTAGTCAGAGGTACAAACCAGTTGCCTTGGCCAGAGAAGGAGAAACAGATGGCATTGCAGAACTAAAAAAGCAAGCTGAATCAGTGTTAGATCTCCAGGAAGTGACTCTAGCAGAAGATTTTATGGTGATAAGCATTCCAATCAAGAAATAAAACCAGTGTTCCTGAGTGCATACTGACATGTCTGTGATATGTTACTGAACCTATAGTCCAGCTTTTTATTTCTTGTTTTAGTCTGAAATCATTTGGGCCCTAATAATCCTAAAAAGAATGGAGTTGCTTTGATGAATTGACTCAGTATAATTAAAGGAAGTAAGCTTTTTGATAATAAATCTTTTTAAGAGGAAAAAACCCCAGCATCCTTATTAAAGCCCAAATTTGACAAATTGATAGACTAGTCAGGTATACTTCTCATTTTGTGCTGCTACCATGGATATCAGCCAATATTCCATGCAGTCCTGGGCTTAGCTGCTGCCCAGCTTTATTGCTGCTGTTGGCAAAGTGCACAGGACTCAGCCCTCGTGGCTAAAAATGGTATTTTGGCAGTTTGTGTTGAATCTGTTTGTGTTATTAACAGAATAGGGAGAAATGTCATGAGATGTTGGACATGCAGGATTGACGATAGCATGAGCATAGCTTTGCTGTAATACTGAATACAGGGTTTGGCTAGGTGTTTAACATTTTATTGAACTTTCTGGTTGGCTCTTAACCCATGGTTCTCAGCTGAGCTGACCCTGCTCCTCTAGAAGGAGTTTTGAAATTATGGGGATGTTTTCTTGTTACAGTGACTGACTAGGCGGGGCGGGGGTGGTGATGAAGATGATGGTATTGATGGTATTGGTGGTACTGCTACTACTCGAATTTAGTCAGTAGGATTCAGGGATGTCCTATAAAAGTTTTGATCAGTCATGTACAATAAAGAATCCTCTCACCCCGAAATGCATATTGCAGACCCATTGAGAAATACAGCAAGTTAAAGCTGATAACCCCTGATGTGAATATAGTTTACCAAAATTAGTGACATAATGAGTCGAATTACTAGGCAAGTCCAATCCGAAAGAGTGAATATGTTAGAATTGCAATGTCATGCCAAGTAACATTTTAAAGAAATGAGCCATCAAGTGAAGCTTATGAACCTGGAGGAAAAAATGCTTATCTATTAAACTGAGGTTTCATTTTCATGTCCCTATTAATAATTCGTTCAGCACAATTAAAAAATTTTTTTTCTTTCTAGAATAGCTCTTCCTTCTGAGCTGCCTTCCACCTTCCTTCTGTCTGGTATATCTCTGAATCATTTGCCCCTCAATGTTTCTTAAAATGTGTTCCATAGAAAGCTAGTCTTAAGTGCTGATTCACTCAGAAAGGCTCCTCAGTCAAATCAGTTTGGGAAACACTTTATGCTGTCTGTCCTTCTAGGAGTGGCGTAGTGCTCATCAGCATGTTAAAAACAGTATTGCTGCAAATGATCATAAACAAGTGTTTGGTGCCCGAAAGACCTGATCCCAGAATCCCATTCTGTGACTTACGGTCTGGAGCAGGTAACACTCTGAGTTTCTTCAGTGTGCTCATTTCAAAAATTGGAAAAACACTAAGACTCAATTCACAGATTGTTAAACAAGAAAACATATATAAGGAGCATAGCACATTGCTTAAGGGTGTTGAGAAATCCTGTAGTACAGAGGCCTGTCAGCTCTACTGAACCCCTTTCTCAGCGCTATTTCACCAATACTATGTATTAACATCTCAGGAACCTAGAAAGCTTTATAGCACATGTATTTAGAAACATTGTTGTAGTACATACTGTTCAATTCCTCTGGGTTCTGGGGCTTCTCCGGCCAAAATTTTTGACTCCTGGCTAGTTTTGGAGACTCCAAAGTAGTTATGACCAGCTGGGGGCAGTGGCTAATGCCTGTAATTCCAACACTTGGAGGCCAAGGCAGGTGGATTGCTTGAGCCCAGGAGTTCCAGACCAGCCTGGTCAACATGGTGAAACCCCGTCTTTACAAAAAACACAAAAGTTAGCCAGGCATAGTGGTGTATGCCTGTGGTCTCAGCTATTCAGGAGGCCAAGGTGGGAGCCTGGAGAGGCTGAGGCTGCAGTAAGCCATGATTATGCTATTATACTCCAGCCTGAGCAACAGAGCAAGACCCTCTATCTCTCTCTCTCTCAAAAAAGAAAAAAGTAGGAATGATCAAGATAGGTTTGGTTACTTGAGATCTGATAATCCTGATGCAGCCTCTAGAATGGTCTATCTTACTGTAGATTCTTCCCGCCCGCCAAGTGCCAAACTTTGACCATGCATGAAGCCTGTCATGGTTTCTAAACTCAATTCAAATAAGCATTAATTAGACATTAATATGTACCCAAATTTGTGCAAGAGACTAGGACTCTAGGACTAGAATGGCTTGGATGAGTATCTGTAATGCATGAAGCCCCTGAGGGTAGAGACGATGTCTTAGTCACTGCTACATCCTTAGAAATGTCCACCTAGAGCTGGGTGCAGTGGTATGTTCCTGTAGTCCCAGCTACTTGGGAGGCTGAGGTGGGAGGATGACTTGAGCCCAGGAGTTCAAGTCCATAGCAACATAGCAAGACTCCATCTTGGCCAGGAACAGTGGCTCACACCTGTAATCCCAGCACTTGGGGAGGCTGAGGTAGATGGATTGTTTGAGGCCAGGAGTTTGAGACCAGCCTGGGCAATGAGGCTAAACCCTAAAAATACAAAAATTTGCATTTTTTGTCTCTTAAAAATATAAAAAGTAGCCGGGCATGGTGGTGCACATCTGTCATCCAGCTACTCGGGAGCCTGAGGCATGCGAATTGCTTGAACCCGGGAGGTGGAGGTTGCAGTGAGCTGAGATCACGTTACTGCACTCCAGCCTGGGTGACAGCAGTGAGCTGAGATCATGTTACTGCACTCCAGCCTGGGTGACAGAGTGAGACTCTGTCTCAAAAAAAAAAAAAAAAGAAGAAGAAAGAAAAGAAATGGCCCACCTATAGTAAGCATTCAGAAATGCTTTTAAAATGAAGCCTTGATAACATGAGTGCACACACTTTAGGACATGGTTAAATGCCTAGCCCATTTCATTACTGAACTGATCAGAAAGAATATAAACCACCTGGTTGGTGGTGCCCATTCACTGCGTAATAAATAAGTGCCAGACTTTGTTGTGTTGGTAGTACATAAAACAGACAAATGGCAAAATTCTAGCTGTAAGCTCACAGCGTGGTGAAAGAGACAGGTAGATAAAAGTAAATCTTGTTGCTTCACATATTCTAATCTTGTAGCCTGGGCACTCAAATTTTGCTGTTCCTGAGCATTACTTTGTAGCTGACCTGAGCCATGCCCTTAGAATCAGGCTCTATAAATACATATGGGCTAAGCCCTCAGAGGCCATGGGAATGTGGAAACGATACGTTGGATCAAGTGTAGAGTATCAGTCCATGATGAGAACTTTTTCTAGACCCTCTTCTGGCCCAGAATTTGTTTTCAATGATAGGGACATTCTAAGAATTTGCGGAGCTAGAATGAAGAATGAAGTTTATATGGGATTTCTCAGAACCTGTAATCTACCCAAGGATTTGACTCTAAGTGGGGAGGGGGACCATAATATGAACCCCAAATTTATTTGATTACCAAATCCTCTTTTTTTGCCAAGGAAGATCTTGGGACTTTAGAAATGCTATTCTCTATAGATTGCGAAATTATTCTATTTATATTTTTTACCTGCACAATTCATTGAGGTAATGATTTCCATGTCTACACATAATACATTACTTCCTTTGTCCTAAACTGACTTAATTGTAAGGAATCCATAGATACCTACTTATTTTAAACTTTTAAAAATGTACACTTTTGGCCAGGCACTGTGGTTCACCTGTAATCCCAGCACATTGGGAGGCCGAGGTGGGCGGATCACTTGTGGTCAGGAGTTCAAGACCAGCCTGGCCAACATGGTAAAACCCCATCTCTACGAAAAATACAAAAATTTAGCTGGGTGTGGTGGTGGGCTCCTATAATTCCAGCTACTCAGGAGGCTGAGGCAGGAGAACTGCTTGAAGCTGGGAGGTGGAGGTTGTAGTCAGCTGAGATCACGCCACTGCACTGCCTAGGTGAAAGAGCAAGACTCTTGTCTTGAGAAAAAAAAAGTGCATGTTCGAATTCTCCAAAGTTGTTTACACTTGCCCAAATAGACCCTAAATCAGCTCTGTTTAATACTCATGCCTCATTAATGCACTTTAATGAACTTTGAATTATAAAAGCAACACATGCTTGGTAGAGAATATTTTTAAGATTCAAGAAAAGAAGACAATTATTCACAATTCCTTCACCCAGAGAGAGCTGTTATTTCTGACCCAGTGGTCCTCAAACTGAAGGGTGAGTCAGGATTACTCAGGGTGTGTAGGTAGACAGAGATCCTTAGGCTCTGCTTTCAAAGACTCAATCACTAAGTCTTATTAAAAATATGCATTTTTAATAAGCCCCCAAGGTGATTCTGAGGTATGTGAGTGGCAAACCATATTTGAGGAAAAACACTGTCTATGCGCCTTTAAAATTTTGTGTGTGTTTAGATATTTTGTATGTGCGTCTACCTATGTTTGTATGTGTGTATATGTAGGCTGACCTCAACTGTTTTTCTCATTTAGCATATTATGAGCATTTCCCCACGGCATTAAGTGTTCTCTGAAACCATGAATTTAATGATTTTCTATTATTGCATTCGATAGATACAGTATCATTTAACCATTTTTTTATTTGTGGGCAGTGACATTGTTTTTCATTATTATAAATAACACAATCATTAATATTCTTATGCATAAATCTTTGTATCTCTGAGTATTTCCTTCCTTAGAATTGATTTCTCTGAGGGTGAAAATGTGACTTATTTTTGGAGCTTCTGGGTAGGAATTGCCCATGGTTTTTCATGCTCTTTTACACTCCTAGCAGCAGTGAATAGGAGTGGCCTGTCTTGGTATTCTATCTGGAGATGATACGGAGTATCATCAGCTCATGACCTTGCTAACACTTCTTCCCCAAGACATTAGTCCTATGAAGATTATTTTCACCTCCCAGTGCCAATAACTTTGTTGTGTCTTTCAAGTAGCACGTATTGTGATTTCCTTGAATATTCTTATGCCAACTTAAAATTTTGCTAGTTTTTACTTTAGGGGTAAAAATTCTTACTGCTTCAAATATGTCCATGACAGATGTACAGTGAAAGTACTTTTTTACTCACAAAGATATACATTTATCATGAAATGTGCTGGTTCTGTCCTTACTGATTGATGGATTTTTCAGGTAATGAATGAGTCAGTATTTTTCTTACATGGGAAGACTGAAAAGGAAGCTCTGGG